GGCAGAACCATCTCATATCACAGCTGTGAAAAAAATAATTTGGGATAAAGCGGAACTAAAATCCTTCCTGCTGGCAGGCTAATCAAATAAGCCAAGGGATAAATGGGCATGGAAACCTCACTAGGCTTCCTGTAAACAATTCTCTAGAACTCAAGATTCAAATACATTCATAAAAAAAGGCAATTTTTTTTCTTCATCTATCCTTGCAAAAGCAGTTGTAGGACACAAATTGCCCCCATGGAGTCAGCACTGGGTGAAGCAGAGGAGGTGGCCTCCATCGCTTGGTGGGCTGCTGCCTTCAGAGCTGAAATCAGAGGTGTGAGTATTGCAGTGCTGGGACCTTTCATCTGCATCTGATGGGATCACAGAGCGTGGCTGCAGTGGGCACAGTGCTGTATTTCATGGATCTGCTGCTAAAAGGGGATGGGTGGCCTCACTGCATTGCTCTCACAAGGCAGGGGCTGGGTGCAGGGCAGGGGGATCTCTGTTCTTTGCTGCTCCCCTGCGATGGGGAATTGCTGCAGCTGGGAAAGCTCTGCTTTAGCTGAGCATGCTGCAAACACAGGGATCCTATTTTGGAAAGGGGTTGGGATTGTCTCTGTGTGTCTGCACAGCTCCAAGTTCCAAGCTGGAACACACAGGAATCTTAACTTCTGCCAAGCCCCAGGTGAAAGCAGGTGGTTCTGCATTACTAGCAGCATCATTTCTTGGATGTAAAGCACTATTTTGAATTTCCAATACATAACTCAGTTCACTTTGCTCCTGGACTAACAGATGGATCTTACTGGATGCCCTGAGGAATGTGGATACGTGGCTGCTTAGCCAGGAGTCGCTGGAATAAGGCCCTGTTCTGGCCCTTATTCCAATACTATGTGGGCAGCAGAGGTACCAAAGACACTGAGAGTTTTTTTTTCCTACATCCAAGAGCTGCAGGATTTGGCCTGAGCATCTGATATGAGACAGCATTTAAAGTACATCCGTGGGCTGGGTGTTATGTTTTTGCAAAATCATGGCCTGAGCTCAAGCAAAGATAAGCAGGTCAGGAATATATTTAGGCAGGAAGCCAGAGGAGCAGCCTTCCAGTTGGAGCAGCTGCTCGTACGAAGATGAAGCACAAGGAATCTTTGTACATTTTCCATCCTGAGCACAGTGTAGTCCTTCTGCAGTCTCATGTCGCTCAGGTGCTCTCCTCTGCCAGCCTGTGCCATGTGGGGAATGAAAGGGAAACAGTGAAAAATGCTGCTTTAGTCCCTAAGCCCAAACACTGGGGCATGGTTTGAAAAACAGCACTAATCTCATAGGCCGTTGCTGAAATACTCTCCTTAGCCCATGGTTACAGCAGCACATCCTGCACCCATCAGTGTCAGGCCCTGCAGCAGCCTGGTCAGCACTGTGACAGCCCCCAGTGTGGAGCCCAAGCCCAGGGGACATCAGGCAGGACAATTCCCTGCAAGGAAGTTGGGCTGAGGTGGGGGGTCAGACTGCGCTCCCAGCTAGCACTGATAGGATGAGAGGTGATGGCCTTAAACTGTGCCATGAGAGGGTCAGGTTGGCTGTTAGGAAACAACTTTTTCTCCAAAAGAGTGGTGATTCAGTGGCACAGCTGCCCAGAGTGGTGGGGTCGCTGTCTCTGGAGGTGTTCCAGAGCCGTGGAGATGTGGCTTTGAGGGATGTGGGTGTGGGGGGTGAGCTGGGGTTTGTCTTGGGGGATCTTAAAGCTCTTTTCCAACCTCAGTGATGCTGTGGTTCTGTGATTCTCTTCCCCTCTCCTGAGCAGGCTCCAGCCCAAGGTCTTGTGCCATGAACCCCTCATCCTCATGAAATCCTCTCCAAACACCATCACAGCCAGTCAAAGTGATCACCGTCACAATCGCCACATCCATTCCAGCTGCCACAATTGAGATTACGCATTCTCCTGAGCTCCTCCAGCCCTATATATTATGCCTCAGAAGTTTTTGCAGGGTACCATTCCCATGTGAATGAGTATGGCTTCAACTCCTGCCCTTAAGCTTTGTCCCAACACTGCAGCTGTCCTACATCAGCAAGCTGTGGGGTCGTGGCTGCCCGCACCATGCCTGCAGAGTGTGCCTGACCTTGGGAAGCACTCACCCAATTGTCCATCCCACACATATCCCCCAAACGGGACTTAAGCAAGAGTGCAGCAATGCCTGGAATGAGTGTTCCTGCGGTGAGCGGAGGGGTGAAGCTGTGTTCCCAAAGCCAGCACTATAAATGGGCATCACTGAGCAGATCCCATTTAAAGGGATTTCACTACAGAGAAAGTGGCAGACAGCCTCATGAAAAAGAAACAGCCTTAGGATATCTTCAAAATACCTCCTGCTGTAGAGGGAATGACACTGCTGAAAGCTTTAAGGGAAGGAGGAAAATCTGGCGTGCACTTCTCTATTTTTGGTGCTTTTAGTTCCTGCATCCCAGCACGGCCCTGTTCACTCCCAGCTCTGTTGCTGCCTCCCTGCACAGCAGCAGCTCAGTTACAGTGCAACAGAGGAACCTTTGTGTGGTGGCATTTTTTTTCCCCTGAGGTGGAGATTTATATTCACATCGAGGCTTGCGCAAACATATTTCTTACAGCACTTTACAAACCGGTAGCTGGAAATGTCACTTTGCTGCTGAGTCAGTGGGAGGCTGATGCATTGAGGACAAGGGGCTGCTGTGCATCCCCCAGGTCTGTGGGCTGAGAGCAGCCGGCAGTGCTGGGAGAATGATTCAGCATCTACAAATGCTTAAGGATCAGCAAGCAAAAAGCTTGGAGTGGTCTGCAATCGGAAATGTTTTGCATGACAGGCAGCAAGGCAGCCAGCCATGCTGTTTCTGATGGCTAAATCAGAACAGCAATGCTTACCCTGTTGCTCTTTCAGATTTGCACAATTTTCAGGCGCAGCCAATTGCAACCAAGCTGCTTTCCCAATCTTGTTCTCTGGGAAAGGAGCTCATGGGCACAGGAACGCCACCTGCATGCACATCTACATGGATGGCAGCAGATCTATGATTTATTCAAACAAAACCAACATGGACTGCCAGCCCTCCGGAAGGACTGAGCTGGTTTTGGGACAGCCTCTCTTCTGCTTTTTTTGCTCCAAGGGACATAACTCACGCATTCATCATGGGTAGATTTTGGGTCATTGCACAAGGCAGTGCTGTGCTCAGAGCTTCCTTCCTTATAGCAGAACAAGCTCAAGCCTCAGCCTGCCTGGACATCACTAAACCAATACTTGCATTTATCTGTCAAGAATCACACAAGCAAGAGACTGGCAGCAGAACTACAGGCACTGATGGACTCCAGCAGTTACCCATGGCCCTGCAGAATGGTGGCGGATGTCAGCATGCAGGGGCTGGGTGAGGGCAGCATTACAGGGCTGGATGGATTGTGGTGTGCGAAGCATGATTTCCCTCCAGCAACTTGCTACGTGTCCTTTGATTCAGAAAAAAAAAAACCCACACAACATGGTTTGTTTGTTTTCATAGTGATGGGATTGTCCTAACTACGAAATATGTGTCACCTCCAAACTCCTGGAACACCTATGCATGGAGGTATGGGGGCACTAGCTGAGAATGTCTACTGGAAAAAGGCAAGAGGCAACACAAATAAATAAATAAATAAATAAAGGTCCAATAAGAGAAGGTGAATTCTGTGCAGTGCACTGCAAAGAAACAAAATATTGGTGAATTTGTTTCTCTTGGCAGCACTTCTGCTTATCGAGGGATCATCAAAGGGAGGGGATGATTTTATAGTTGCATAAAAAAATCCTTCCCTCCTTCAGTTGTCCTGGTCTAAGGCTGTCTTCTTGCAGAGGGACCTTTTTCAGGTTTATATCCCTTTCTCCTTTCCTTCCCATCCCTTTACCCCGCAGCCCAGGGGAGGCGTTGCGGGGCGCAGTGAGGAGCGGCTCTGCCCGGCAGGCGGCACTGCGCGCCCGCGGCTGTCTGCTCTCAGCGCCGGGCCCAGGAGCCCTGCTCTCTCCCTGCTTGGCTGCAGTGAGTCTTTTTGCTTTATCATTAATGTTATCATTATTGTCTCTATTAATATATATACGCATACTTATCTTTTTTTATTATTTATTTTTATTTTACCTGGCTTGCTCTAAGAAGATGGAAACACAATGCGGAGAAGATGCCTGTGCCAGTTGTGCATCCTGCTGGGGGTTTGGCTTGCCATGCTTCCCCCCCATGTGAATGGGACAAACAAACCCTCAGTAAAATAAGAGCAGTGCCAGGCAGAGAAAGTGGCTGTGGGAAGGAACCACACAGGGCACGTGCTGTGTCTGGCACTTTTGCTTCAGCTCTGTTTGCTGCACGTGTGCAAGGAACAGCCCTGCCATAGTGCAGCACTGCTCACTCCTGCTCTTCAGTCCCATCCCAAGCAGCAGCACTCCATCAGTCGATGCTGAAGGCCATGATTCAGAAAAATTGCATGAGAACAGTTTATCCATATGAAAACAAGCTCTCTGCATGAGCTGCTGGGCTGGGGCTGTGCCGTGGGGCACAGCCAGGACCACACACCTGGCTCTGCTGGGGACACCGGACACCTCAGGCATGCTGTCCTTTCTCATGCTCTTGTCCCTTCCCTCACTGGGAATGTGTCTCATCTGCTTGGCCCATGTGCTCAAAAAGAAATCCATGGGCTTTGCAGCTCAAACAAGATCCACACCTGTATGAAACCCAGGTCAGGATTGAATTGATGCATAGGGACAAAGGGACCTGCATTGCTCAGGTGGGCACTGGGTTCTGGGCCACAGGGAGTGAGGTTGGGGTCCCTCCTCCCAACACCAAATCCTGAGGAAGAATATGGTCCCTCTTCCTGGCACCAAGGTGAAGGTCCATGCTTGAGCCGCACCCAGGGAGGGTTCGAGAGTGCTCCGCTCCTGAAATAGTTCTTATGGGTCCTTGTGGACAGCAGTTGCTCTCTTGGTGTTGGTGGAATACTGGATCTGAGCTCTTCTCCTTCAGTTGCAGTGTCCATGTGTCTCTGCACCACCCAGTTAACTCTCCTCAGAGGGGTCATGGTGGGAAGCCAAGCAGCTCTCCGCTTTCTCTGTCATCCCCAGCGAGCACTGCTCCACTTTGACTTTCTTTCTTCCTCTCATTGCCTTCTTGGAGCCTGTTAACAGCAAGACGAGCCCAAGAGGTCACTGCAGAGTAAAGGATTTGCACATACAAGGCTGATGTGGTCTAATCCCAAAACAGGGACTGCACAGGGGGAAAGCAAAGCTCAGCAAAAGAGAGTGTGACAGGGCCATATGTAAGGCTTGATGGCCACACTGGCTAATCCTCATCTTCATCAGGAACAGCTCTCTGCTCATTCACCTGTAGGAAGTGTGGGCCCAACACATTCCTTTGTCAGCCAGGGAAAAGCTCTGAGGCCACAGTGGAAAGTCAACAGAGCTGGCAGAATCCTTGATCTGAATGTCAACAGCTTGCTGCTGGGAATTTGGCTGTCCCCAGCCAGCTCCTCCCAAGTGGTGAGCAAACAGGATGGACGTGGAGCAGTTAGGTGCTCAGGGTGCTCTCTGGCCAACAAGCATGGCTTAAGTTGGAAGGAGCCTTAAAGATCATTCAGTTCCATTAACAGCTCTGCTCTGACTGGGGATACTGCTGCCAAAAGCATGGTCCAGTATGGCTTATTGCAGCGAACCATAAGACTCTACTGTGTCACGTTGGGCAAAGGTGTGCACAATGGGGTTTGTTTGCAGAAGAACACCCATGAATAGGAAAGTGCCCAGAGCCCTCGGGTGCTGCACTGAAGGAACCCCTCAGGAAATAGAATGAGAAACTCCTTCCTCACCTTTTGTCCAGGAATCCTGTCCTCTTCTCTTCTTCTGCAGTGCATGAGCTTTGTCTTTGGTGCAAAAATATTTCCCTTCTGACTGGGCTTCTTGCAGGACGTCGTATTCATAGGGAGAAGCCACCTGCACCAATGAGAAGAACCATCAATCTACGAAATACCTGATTGCCAGTGCACTGACAGCCTGGCTGAATTGCCAGGGACCTGTGCAACCATCACCACAGAGTTGTAACAAGGTTTGGTGTTCAGAAACCTATCTACAAAGAGTGACATATCTACCCCTCAGCAACCAGTTGGGTAACAGAGTGCAAATGGATCTTGGCACCTGATGCAGGAAGAGCTGTCACCTCCTGGAGGGAGTTGGGCAGGGACAACCCGTCCTGCACCTCCTGGTGCTCCCAGAACAGGAATTCCTGGTCCAAAGGCACTGTTTCACCCAAGAAACCAAAGCCAACCAACCTCGCTGTCTGTTGTATCTGCCTCATCAGATTCCTGCTTTGTGGACTCGTCATCATCACCATCATCATCATCTAAGGAAACACAAAATTAAGGGTTTTTGGTTGGCACAGGGGGCAACAAGCACATGAATATGATACAGAGCCACAGGACCAGGCTTGGAGAGCCTTCATTATGAGGTGTCTGCATTCATAGAATCACGGAATCATTGAGATTGGAAAAGAACTCTAAGATCCCCAAGCCCAACTCCAGCCAACCCCACTGTACCCACTGTCCACATCCCTCAGTGCAACACCTCCACAGTTCCTGAACACCTCCAGGGATGTTGACCCCCACCACCTCCCTGGGCAGCTGTGCCACTGCATCACCAGTCTTTTGAAGAAGAAACTGTTCCTAACATCCAACTTGGACTTCCCTTGGTGCAACTTACAGCCATTACCTCTCTTAAAATAAAGTTGCACCCTGTCATGGCTGGCAGCTTTGGCAGCAGGAGATGTGGTGTAGCCTCTTCCCTGCTCAGCAAAAGAGGTTTTGCCACACACAGCCCCAAGGCCACACAACTCCTGGCATGTATCTGCACACACCTAGCTCCTGCATTGGGCCAGAACCCAGCATTGCCTCATCTGCACCCCCCTTGTACCAACAGGTTTGGAGCTGTGTCCTCATCCCTGCCCAGCACCTTTAGCATCCCTGAAACCCAACCCCATCCTCATGCTGTCCTTCCAGGGGTTAAAGGTCCAATAGAAAGCACAGGAAGTATTTGTGCGCTTCGTCCTGGGCTTTGTGTCAGCCTTCAGGTGAGAACTGAAGAAAGTTCTGTGTTTTCCCACACCCAGAATGTAATCAGCTGAAATTCTTCTGTTATGATGATATCTCCTTAACATGTAAATCACACAGGGCTTCCCTCCTCCCCCCCCCCTTTTTTTTTTTCCCCACTGTGCAAAATCCCGCTCCCAGTGTTCCCAAACCACTCCGACACGCCCAGACCAACTAATCCAGGTGAACTCAACATTCTGGCCAAGCCAGTAGGTCTGCTCCTAGGAGCTCCGTCAGCTCCACACGGACGTGTTGCCCACTGTGCTCCCCATGGCTTCTGCTTCCCCCCACCAGCAAACCCAGCCCTGCCCCACAGCCATTAGCGAGAGGGAGCACCTCAGCCAGAGGGCACAGCTCAGTTGAGGGATGGAAAAAGGCTTTGTAGGGGTTGGGGTGGGGAAAAAGGAAGAATGCAGGTAACAGCATCCCTCCCCCTGTGCACAAGAGCAATTTGGGAGGATGGGGAGCACCTGTTGTGGTCAGCAGGCACTGCAGGTGTTTGCAAAAGTTGTTTCCCATTGCAGGTTGCCTTCACACACACACCAAAACGCACCTTTGGCATTTGCCTTCTCAGATGTCAGGCTCGCCTGAGGCTCTTTACCTGGTTCTTCCTTCTGTGCACTGGCTACCAGTCTCACCCTGGGCTCTGGAGGAGTCTCTGTGTTGCTTGGTGGTGACTTGTTTATAGGATGCATCCGGGAGAGAGCGAGCTGTAAGGGACAGTGAGTGCAGAAATCCCATAAGTACCATAAATAGAACCACTGCCTTCAAATGTGGGAGAAAAGGGCCATCCCCAGTCCCATCTCACTAACTGTGACAAGTACTGTGATGAGCATCATCTCTACCCAAACCAGTGGGAATGATGCAGATCTTTCCTCTGAGCTGAGTGGAAAACACCACTGCCAAACACCTGTTGGTGACAAAACCACCTGTTTCCAGGGCATTTCAGCATGGGACGTTAATTGTGATTGTAATGACACTGGCACTGAGCACCAGAATTCCAACAGGAGAGAAGGGGTTGGTGTGATGCCAACCTGAGTTGTACTCACCATAGCTGCCTCCTCTTCCTCTTCCTCCTCCTCCTCCTCCTCCTTAATGGCACCAGGCTGCTCTGTGACCTGTCTCTGGGCAGCATCATGCCAGCAGCTGTGAGGCTGTGAGCTGTCCCGCTCCATCCCATGTCTTCTGCAGGAGCCATGCATGGGGCTGTCCCCTGGGCTCAGACATGGACTGGTGGCCTCCTGGTGCTTGATCCGTCCCATTCCCCTCCCACGCCTGGTGTCTGACAGGTCCAGTGGGACATCCATACCATAGTCTTTCAATGCTTCCACCTTTCCTCGGTGCTCAGAGCCATCCCGGCTCAACCAGAGCACTCTCTCCACCTTCCCATCTGCAGCATCCTCCATCCTCTCTTCCTTGCATCCCACTGCGATGCTCAGGCATGGGGACAGTGGCCGCTCCTTGGGCACAGCTTTGGGCTCCCCATCCACCCTGACCCGAAGGCTTTGCTGCTGCTCCAGATGTTGCAGCCGCTCACGGTGCTTGAGGAGGTGCAGCTTCCCCTCCAGGTGCTGGTCCCTCACATACACCACAGCTGCAGGGAGCTTCAGAAGGGCAGCTCTGTCATCCCAGTCATCACGTGGCCTTGTCCTGCCACCACCATCTGTGGCCCTGAGCAAACGGCTGTGGAAACTGCTGTCCCCATCGGGTGGAACGCAACCACTTGCCAGCCCCAGCTGGTGCAGGGCAAGGTGCTTGTTGAGGAGGCAGAGCTGCTCTTTGCGGGCAGTCAGCTTTAGGCTTTCATAGGATGGAGCAGTCTTGGGGGAGATTGGCTTGGTTGTTGTTAAGTAACTAAAAGATATGGGAAAGAAATCACGTTTTGGGGGGAACCTTCATGATTTTCCAGCTCCTGCAGGTGGTGGTGGGGATGTGGTGACCACTTACTGCTGCTGAGAATCATAGAATCACAGAATCCTTAAGGTTGGAAAAGGCTCTAAGATTCCCAAGTACAACCCCAATCTACCCCACCATGCCCTCTGACCACATTCATCAGTGCCACATCTCCATTGTTCCTGAACATTTCCTGGGCAGCCTGTGCCTCACCAATTTTTTTTTTGAGAAGAAATTTCTTCTAGTATTCAACCTGGACCACTCCTGGAGCGAATTACAGCCAGTACCTCTTGTCCTGGAAGCCATCGGCCAAGCCAGACCGTGCATCCAGAGGCCCCCTGCCTCCCAGCATGGCTGTCCCCAGACTCTCCCAGTGGCTTGAAAGATCTGATGACAGAGGAGCGATCCCCAGCCCCACTCCGGAGCAGATCTCTCAGCAGTGCCAAGGAGGCAGCGCTGTGCATGAACCTGCCCATGCAAACTGAGTCCCTGATGTTGCTCTTCACTTGGCAACTGCCCTGTGTGTGAGCAGTTCTTGGGAATGCAGGGCAGATCCCTCCCACTGTGGGCAGCTGGCAGTCTGCAGCCAAACAGCTTCTTGTGCTTCCAAAATCAATGGGGAGGAGAAGCCCTGGGAATCGCTGAGCCCTGCATAAAAGCCCATTAGAATAGATAAGGAGCAGCACGGACTGCTGCCTCCTGCTCAGCCAGGTCCTTACTCTGCAGGCTGGGGACAGGCGCCTGGGTCTATCTGAAGGTGAAGTAACACGAGACTGGACTGGTTGAGTTGGATTCCAGTCATTTTTCTCAACTGGGAGACCCTCCCCTGTTCCCTGAGGCTGTGGGCATTGTGAGAAGTGTGGACAAGAAGGTGGACAAAAAGGGATCACAATTTAGGTGCTGCCTAATGGGGTCCTGCTCCTGCAAGGGGCACAAGCAGAGGACTCACGGCTCCAGGCTGGGGCTGCGTTCCTGCTCTGGTGGCAGTGGGATCTTCCTGGCCGGTGGAGACACTGCAGCCCTCGAAGGACTTTTCTCCAGGCTGTGCCTCACCAGGGCGATGGTGCCGTGTAGCTGGTTGGCAATTCTCTGGGATGCCTGCAAGGAAAAGTGGGGTCAGGCAGTGGGATGTGTGCTGGGCCGCTGAGAGCACCATGTGGCTCTGGGAGCTGTGCTGGGTGCAGACCCAACTCCTCACCAGTGGTAACAGAAACTGCTCCTGCTGTTCCATACCAATGACTCCCCATCAGCTTTTACAACAGCTCCCACCTCAGAGGTGGTAAGAAGTGATTTGATATAATTCCAATCAGTGGCTGAATCTTAATTGTTTTGGCTTTCCCAGGAAAGCTTCCCTTTGTGTTTTCCTTGATATTCTTTAATTTCTGGCTGCACTGATCTGTGGCCAAAGAGACCACATCCCTTGTCTCAAGTCAGCGGCTTAACCAAGATAAGACCCTGCAAATTCCCCAACCATTGCTCAGGACTCTGGGATTCATTCCATGCTGCTGGTATTTCTTTGGGGGTGCATTTCCAGCAGAGACCCAGCAGTGAAGCCAGGACATCGCAATCCCATCTGCTGCGGAAGGCTCACCACGTGTTCTGACTTGACTTCTCCCTGCTTAACAGAGATGTCACCAGTCCTTCCTGCGATCCCCACATTAATTATCCTTGCAGCCTGCCGGCAGCCTCACCAGAACCTCACTTCACCCACTCCTTCAGGTTTTCTGCACAGTTCAGCTAAGCAAAGGCTGTGCTAAAACAGAAGCGGCTGTGTGGGTGTGTGTGTGGGCTTGGGTTCCCATGGCGAGAGCAGGGCTCCAGGTCCTGCAGCCTCATTTCCCAGTGCCCAAAATCATCGTATCACTCAGCATCCCTCAGCTGATACATGCTCTGTGCTTCAAAGGCATGGCTGGCTTGTATCTACACACAAAATGGTAACCAGTGAATGCCAGTTCCTCTGCAAACACCACTGTTCATTATGCTGCAGATGGAGAGATATCCGCGATGCTCTTGGGCAGGTCTGCTGTGCTGCATTTGTATTCTGTATATCCAAAATCTCCACCATTCACATGCTCTCCAGGCTTTGCCATCGTTCACAGTGCTGCAGCCTCTTGTTCCTGATTATCACTTAGAATAAGCTGCACCAATACATGAGTTGAGATGATCTCCTCATGAGAAAGATTTTCTCAGCAAGAGAGGAGCCATTGTGTCGGGGAGGGGACTCGGGGGTGCTAGATGTGTTGTCATGAAGGGCAAACTGAAGATGTACTCTCCTCCAACAAGGAACAGAAGCCTATGATAAAATCTAAAGGATTTGCTAGCAGACAGTGGCAATTCCTGCAAAGCATGCACCTATCATTGGGTTTTCCTCCTTATCCCTGGCAACAGCATTCTGCCCAATTCTAGGTAGTTATTTTACCCTCTTAAGTATTTCCTACTCATTCTCCATCCGTTTCAACCCCTTCTCACCCAATGCAAACAGGGAGCAGCCCTGGGCTCCCTCTGTCTACTCACCATTTCTGCCAGGCTGGCTTCTTGGAGGATAGTGCTTGGGGAAATCCTGCTGCAAGGAGAGCTTCTCTGTCCTGTGGTCTTCTCTGCAAACAAAAGACAAAACCAGCCTCTGGAACAGTCCCACTGAACTGAAAATTCCTTCTGGTTTTAGCAAGTATGTGAATGAATGGACTCTCCATTGCATGCATAACTGGCACCAAGGCAAACATATGGTCTCTGCACCATATGGGTGGTGGCTGCATGCCTGCACAGAACCTGTCTTAGAGCAAGAGCACCCAGACACCCCCAGCTACTGTTTGCACAAAGCAGAGCAGCATAATTGTCCCTATTCCGTGTGAGCATCCATTTGAGCTGCCAGCAGCTTGCACTGTGCTCTCCAGGCCCATTCCTTGAGTAGTTCTGCCCCATGGCTCAGCCACTCTGTCTCATCTCTAGGACCCCAGGCGGGTGGTTGGACCACAGCACCCACCTTCCCCCAGCTCGAGGCCCGGCACACCGTGCTGGGAGTCCTCTGCTGCTCCAAGAACCGCTCTGTCGGCGCTGGTGTTCCTGCTAGTGGGGGACAGTAATGGCAGTGGGGAGCTGGGTGTGGAGCTGTGCTCCCTGGAGATGGCTCCTTGGTACTTGATCCTGTCCCTGCAGAGAGCAAAAAGGCACAGAGGGATGAGAAGGGATGGGAGAAGGGAATCATCAGATTGAGAGCCACTGCAGCAGCAGCTTTGAGTTACAGAACCAGATGTGTAAATATACATATTTATATATCATGTGGATAGACCAGATCTTCAGCATCACCTCCTTCCCTTTCAGGTTATCACTGGCTTGGCTGCAGTCCACAGCATGAGACAGAGCCAGCATGACAGCTCAAGGTCTGATTTCCCCACCTGCCCATGGGTAATGTTATGGGGAGCCACGAAGTTGGGTAAGACAAAACCCCATTGCAGCAGTTGCAAAAGCTCTGTGATCTGTACATCCCTGTCTGGTGTAGGGCTGGATTCAGAGCTCCCAGTGTCACCATTTTGAGATAGTGTGTCCCTTGGAGGGAGCTGCTTTGAGTCTGAGCCCCACACTTTGGTCACCAATCAAGTCCTGACCAGACCTTGATGTCAAGACATGGGTGTTTGGTTGGAACCTTCCAATGCAGCAGCCCAGGGAGGAGCAGAGCTCGGTGCTTAGCAAACCCAACAGGATCAGCAGCTCCCAAACTGCTCAGACCTTGAAGAGCATCAGAGGATAGAAGTGAGTTTCTCTTTAAGTAGGCAGTGCTTCTGAGCTCCAAAGAAAACACATTTCTAAACTAATCCCTCGGTGCTAATTCCTCTGGACTTTAAGCCCTTGAGGAATGAGCTGATTTGTATGTATCAGCCTGCCTGGCAGGTTCCTTGGCTTTCAGCATTAACCTGCTGGAGCAGGTCTTTCCCTTGTTATCACTGGATCCCCATGTTCCCAAAGACTCAGCTATTGGGTGAATGAGAAGAGGGGAATGAGCAAAGCTCAATGAGGACTTGGACCTTTAAAAGTGTTTTGCTGTCTTAATGCCTATAGGAAACTATCCCTGTGGACACAAAGGTCCAGACGTAGCCCTGCTCAGTGGTAGGAAAGCCACACCAGCACCCTGTGCCATGGATGACATTCAGAGAGCACTTACTCTGGACTCTGGAGCCTCTTCAGTTCTTCCTTGAGAGTTTTGTTCTCCTCCTTCAGGCGGCTCATCTCATTGGCTACAAAGAGACACCAGGAGAGCCACAGCCTTTGGGTGCTGAATGGAGCAGGATGGTGCTTGACCTCTTATCTCTCCTTTTTCTGGAGATACAGAGGGCTGAAACCCCAGCTCCAGTCTTCATGTGTAGCTGTCAGACGTGATTCCTCAGCACCTCCATGCTTCCATCACTCCCTCCCTCCCTCCTCCCCATCACCAAACTCCTCCTGCTTGTTCAGCCACTGAGTGGCTCTCTGCAGGTATCAGAACAGCCCCAATAAGCCAAATCTGAGCTTACAGCAGACCTTGGTACCTACTGAGAATGAAGATGTGCTGGAGGCTCTGGAAATGGGAATTTTCATATTCATTCTGCTTCTTTTTTGCCAGCTCCTGGGTGACCATGCATCTGTCACAGAGACCTGCTCGCAGCCTGGATGAAAACCCATGGTTGGGAGCTTGTTACCATGCATTCATATGAGGAAATGGGACCGTGCCTGTGCAGTATAGTGCACTCCTCACCATTACCCGGAGATGTGAGTGACACCAAACAGCTGACCATGAAATCCTACCTGTTCTCCAGCACTTTTACATTTTCTTTGAGGACCTTCTGTTGTTCCCTTAGTTGGTGGTTTTTAGCAAACAACTCTTCAATTCTCTGGGCATCGCTAATGCAAGAAAAGAGTCAGGAAAAGAGAGTTACTGGGCTTCTCCAAATACCTATGGCTTCATTCTCAGTGCCTAGACTGTGGGAAGGGTTTCTGCTCTGAGCCCACTGTACTGCTTGCACTGCTGGTGCTTAAATTTGGCACTGCCAAATAGGTGAAGGATGCTCTCTAAAACAGGGAAACACCTGCTTACGGCTGTAGGCACCTCTGTGATGCACAGAAGTGCCTGGAAGTCTTAAAACCCATCCCCTCCACCCGCTGGGACATCGATACCCAGGCACTGCTCACCGGCACTTCTCTGTCGTCAGCTCCGTTAGCTTTGTTTGCAGACCTGGAACAAGGAACAGAAATGGAGAGATGGAGAGATGGGTGCTAATTGCAAATCCCACAGGACCTCAGAAACAAAAGGCAGTCACCTGACTTCTGCCTGAAAGGAACTTCTACGCTTTGCAAACCACATACCTGAGAAAGACCAGCACGCATCCTGCACCAAACGACACCGCAGTTTGACATAACTGGCAAAGCTGTACAGCATGGGAGCAGGTTTTGCATTTCCACTGTTTAATGGATTTGCATTTCCCCTCCTCCCCCAAAAGTCTGTTACAGCTTTGTTTCTGGTTCTTTTAGCTACAGCAGACATTTCCCAGGTGGGCAGTATTTTATAGCTCTGGGGGCTGCAAAGCGTCTCGGAGAATATTTACAGCTCAACAAGAACACTTTCATTGATGGATCTGCAGATGTTACGTTTTGTCAAATCCATTTTATGCAAAATAGATGTAAACATGTGGTTTAGATTGCTCAACAGTTTCCTCTAACTCTCCCGTGGCCCGAAATCACAAAGACTAAAATGAATTCATAAGCCAGAATCTTCCAAAAGCACTGTTGCTTTGTTCATAATGCTGACACTGGGAATTGTTTTAATAGGAAAGCAATTGGATTTGGCATTTGCTTCCTTAACTGAACAGTTCTTACTTTAATGATGTATGACTGGGAAATTCCCAAGAGCAATAAACTATCTAAGGTTTTCCACAACACGGCATTGAATTCTTGTTGCTTCTTCCTTGTAGACCGCTGTGTCTTTCCCATTCCCTCTTTCCCTCCGTATCCAAGCTATATCCCAATAAGATGGAGGAAACACACCATCAGAGGGTTATTTGAAACCAAGCAGATGAAGGCAGCACCAAAAAGGAATGGACTTCGTCCAGCTGTTAAGAAGACTTATCATGTCTCCTTACCTTGAACTTCTTTTTCATGGATTTCCTTGAGCTTGTTCAAGAATTCTGCAAAGCTCTCTGTGGTCATGTTCAGGGCTGTGCCGTGCTCCTGGGTCACACGCAAGGATGTCCTTTTGTTTCAGATTACTCAGATTTTAGCCTAGAACAGAAAAAAATGTCCAATAAAAGATCTATCTTGTGGATATTTGGTTGGACTACATGATCTTAGTGGTCTTTTCCAACTTGAATGGTTCTACAATTTTATGATATGGTGTTTTGCTAAGCCTTAGAAAGAGGACAAAGAAATACCTTCCCAAATGTAGGAAGTAAAATAATTTGCTCACCCACACATGCAACAAGAGCGGTGTGTTCACTGGGGTTTTCACAACAGTGCACCCTGAATCAGTCCAGAGCTGGGAGCACAGACAGAATAGTGATGGCTTGAATAGTGGGAACACCACAACAGATAAAATCAGGCTTTTCCTCTACTTTTGGGGACTGTGGGGCTCTACGTGGGGAGCAGGACTAGTGTCCCATGCTGCTGGGAGAAAAGTCTTTGTAGCTGTAGGGCTGGAGCCTGATAGCTCTACAAATGCTTGCCTGATACGCACCGCTCGACTGCCCAGCTGCCATCGCCCTGGCTGCCCTGCTGCCTCCTCGCACCTGGGGAGACACCAAAACCAGAACCATTAGTCCTGTTCCTGTTTTCCAGACGCTTGGAGAGGAGAAGGCTGAGTGAAATCCATGGCCCCTCAGAACTATGGGGAGGGCTCGGGTCTCTGCTCCCCCTGCCTCTGCCTTGGTTTCCCCATTGATGCTGTGGGGTTAGGGTCAGCGTTAGTAAGCCGTGGTACCCCCAGTTCAGTAAGCTGTGAATGACAAGACTGTAGGGGTTGGAAGGGATCTCTGGAGATCATTCCGTCCAACCCCAAAGGCACCAGGCAGCCATCAATCTGAAAATCAAGTGACAGGTTGTAAAATCTGCCCTAACCCCAATGATCACGAGCTCTGATGTTGCCAGCAGGGATGCTGACATTGATCTAAACTTTCTCATTCCAAAATGGGGATGCTTAGCCAAAACCTTGGGCAGTATCAGGATATGACAGTGGTCTCCCAGATAGCTGTGATCCCTCCTGGGCCAGGCAGTGCTGTTGAACAGCACGTATACAGATGTCACTTGGGGCATTGCAGAGGGTCCCCCACTTGCTTTGGGTGTCTGATTTGTGTGCCCTGGGCCAGCAAACCCCACACAACAGGGAGAACCCAGAAACCCCACGGCAGCATGGGAAGAGTTCTGCAGCTGCTGCACGCTCCCCATCCCTGCCGGCACCTGCGTGCCTTTATCTGCATGCAGAGCAGAGGTGTGCCTGATCGCCTGCATATGCAAGATGTGGGCATGAAGAGCTGGAAGGAGAAACTTTCCCCTAAAGGGTCTGATTTTAAAAAGAAATTAGGCACGCGCCAGTGAGCACAAGCAGCAGGCTGGGCTTGTGTGCTCTCACCACGCTCAGCTCAGCGTGACGGAGACTAAAATACAGATCAGAAACTCAGTTGCAAAACCACGCTCTTAGAACATGAACATCTGAGCAGCTCCCCTTGCCTTTTGAGCATAAAAATGTAAGAAAAAACATTGCTGCCCCTTCTGTGGGCAGAAAGCAGCCTGTGCTAGCAGTGGGTGATGTCTCCCGAGCACACACAGCTTGTTGCAGCTCGCACAGCCAACAGGCTACTCGGGATCAGCCACCGTGAAATGGGATTGGGAGCTGATCTCTTCTGCTCAACCTCAAAAACCACCGCTTAACAATGAGCCAGGTGAAATAATACCCAGCTCATCTCCGACAAAAACCCGATGAAATGGTGTTAACAAGTACACCATCTGTGCAGCTGGCAGCCTCTTGGAGTTGCTGAGTCCTGAATTTGGGGTGAGGGGGAGATGGGGAGGCTCACCGCTGCCTGCTAGGGTGCCGGTGGGAAGACTTTGAAGTGCTGAGGGGTGGGATGGCTTTGCACCTGGAAGCTGAGCATGTGCCATGGTGTGGGCTCCATTCTGGCCTTCCAGCACTGGATCGGCCCCTACTCACACTGCCCTGTCTCACTGTCATCATCCCCATCTATGGCACTCAGGGCTGAGGCTGGGATGTGCCAGGAAGGAGATATCTGGGTTGGGATGTGGGGGGAGCCGGCTCCAAGCCCCAAAAACAGTGCAGGCTGCAGGCAGCAGGCAGCTGCTGTGAGTCAGTGCTGTGGGCAGAGCCTGGTGGGTCAGGATCCGGGCTGTAATTTTGGCTGGGGTGTAGGCAGCAGCCTTGCTCCCCTCACACAGCTCCAGCAGTGCTAGGACTCTGTCTTGGTCTTTTTCTCAGTGCTCCTGAGTCAGCAGTGGATATGCCTGCTGGGGATTTGATTGTGAGGCTTTGGATGAAAAAAGCTATGGAGATTTTTGCTGCTTTTTTTGAGATGCTAGCATCCATCCCTGTCTGCAAAAGGGGCCTGCAAATGGGACTGCCATTGCAGCAAACCTGGAGGAGAGTTTTGGTCTCTGCTCTGTGTGCAACCACAGTTACTATGAGACACCGTATGAGCATTGTTCCCCTCTCCTCTGTACCCAGGATTTGGCCTCTTGCCATGCAGATCAGCCCCACGGACCCCCCAAGTTCTTGAGGAGTTCAATTTTCCTCCTTCTTACACTACATGGACCAGCTCAGGTGGGAATCCACATCCACTCACTCCTCCGACCCACTCGGGAGCATTTATTGAGAAAGATTTATCACTGAAGATTAGACCACAGAATCCCTGTGACAGGGTTTTCACTTGCAGCCTTGAGCCCTTCTCAGAACTGTCACCATAATTTACACAACATGGTGCTGGATGCTGCAGGGCCAGGAGCAGCTCCTCGGTGCGCTGCTGGCATGGGACCACGCGTATCTCAGAGCCATGGGTGCCCTCTGTTTGCAGAGCCCAGTGTTGGGGCCAACCCCCATATCTCGCTGCTTTGGAAAGAGAGCCAAGGCTGATGCTTGCTCTCCATACCCATGGCTGGGGGGATGATTTCTCATCCCCTGCTATGGGATTTGGGAAGTGATGGGCTTGAGCAGCACTGCCTGTTTCAGAAGAATGAAGCAGCTCTTTGGCTAAACGAGCTTAAGTCATTCAAAAATAAATTCCAGACTCTGAAGTTCTGACAATATCAGATCAGCTCAGCTTAATGGATTTACAATGAGGTATTTCCTCATCAGCAGTACCGGAGAGGTTCAGCTTCAGCCCGGGTTTATGCAATACACTCTTTGCTGTGAGACTGCTGGGCAGAACTGCCTTCATTAGCCAGGCTATTTTTTCTTGGCCACCCTCTACGTTCCAGTCTAAATTCACAAATAAATTAATTTATACTCACAAAAACTGCCTCATCAGTCACGGAAAATCTGTAGGGCCCTTGGCCCATTGGGGGATGCTTCTTCTTTCCCTAACACCTGTGGCAATCACCAAAGCGCTGGGGATTTTCCCCCATTATATTATTATTTCCCCAAATCCCCCACCTGGACACAAGCTCAGGCCCTGCAGCTGTGCCATGGTGTTGCCTGGAGCATGGGGGGATTTGGGCAGAGGCATGGGCAGCTCGGGAAGCCTGAGCAAGGATTCAAAAGATGGTTTAAAGGAGTCCCTTATCTGCCTGGGCATCTCGGGATAACCACTGCTTCTATAAACATCGCTTAATTAACACCTCAAAATGCTCTGGGAAACGGGTAATAAAGCATTATTGCGTTTTTCAGGTGTTTTAATTGAGAAGTGGTGAGGCTCAGGGAATAGCTCAAGGCTTTGTCGGGAGCAGAGGTGCATTCAAAGCACCCGAAAGTCCAATGCTTTCACAGCCTCTCCCTGCCGAAAGCCCCCCATCTGTGCACAGCAGGTGAGAGCAGCCCTGAGAAGGGCTGGGGATAAATGAATGGATGTAGTGCATGGCACCTGGAGCACCTCGGGCATGAAAATCCATCCTAACCACACTCACATAAACTGGTACCTCTGCACCTGCATGCAAGAACATTCCGAGTCAGTTCAATGTGAAAGAAAAGGGTAAATTTCTTTCTGCTGGACATGATGTGGGTAATGAAGTTCTTAACTGAATCCACTTTTCTGCTCAATGCTGTTTATAAAAGGAAAACACCTGTAAACAGGTGCTGGTGGAGATGAGGGGCTTCTGCCCTCAGGAGCTTGTGGGGCCTCATGTTCTGGGTCTGGCTCTGGGAACCCTGAGAATAGGCATGCCCCAATAGATTGCCCAAGGAGCCCCTGCTGATGGGGTTCCCCAAGGCAGATGCCCTACGAGGATGCTCTGGGACCCCCTGCAGCTGGAGATGCCCAAAAGGAGATTCTCAAGTGGGAATATCTCAGAAACTCCTACTGGTGGGGATGTTCTGATGGGGAATTGGCTGCCTGACCTGGGACAAGGAGGGCTGCAAGAGGCCGTTTGTAGGGGTCTGCTCTACATGAACCACACTAACAGCCTTGGAATAATTTGTGCTTTGGATTCCCCTTTGTATACCACGTGGTCATTCCAAGGCAATGATGGCACAAATCTCTGACTCGCAGCACAGCTCTGGTATTATGGCCAGGTCCCTACTCACCACTCAGCCCCACACAATGCCGACTAGAAGCAGGACAGCCTCAGCCAGGCATTTTTATGGGTTGAGGCATCTCTGCTTTTCCCAAATACTTGGTGACACATTGGTGATGGGGACACTTTGCCCAGGCTGAGTTTTGAAGCAATACTGAGAACTGGTGTCCCTCACCAAAGCACTCAGAAGGATGTGTGCTTTCAGTGCCTTAAGAAAGCATTACCCATCAGGGCATTACCCCCAGGGCATTCCCCATCACGGGACCAATGCAGGAGAGGGAATGAGCAGCAGGCAATGGATACAGCACCTTGCTCCCCCTCCACCCTCTGATATCCCTATCTCTTCCCTCAATCTGGATGTAAGGTAGGGGAGAGAAGAGAGGGCAAAAAAGCATGGGTGCAGCTCTGTATTCCCAGCAATAGAAATTCCATTGATTTAGGGTAGGAAAATTGGGATAGGAAGTGAATCTGATTTTGGG